TTAGCATCCACAGGCCCCAATTTCTACTTGCTTTCAAATACCATTACCTTTGCAGTAACTTCAAATATTCCCAAGGTTAGACTGTATGATTCAATCTGTTAAATATTATTGCATTGCCTCTAAGAATTGGCATCCTCTCCTTCCCAAGACACACTTCTTCCAGTTCTGAAGGGAAATGGTGCTAATTAGCTGTATTATGAAGATATGACATCTTAATTCACTATAGTACCTTCCTTTTAGGAGAGCCAGCTAATTGAAGGACCAGAGCTCTTAAAAATAACTGTATTAGTTATAGACAGTAAACAATTGTCCTGGTTAACAGCTGGGCTCATGCATTACCAAGACGTCCCAGGCTAGACAAAGAACTTATGTTCGTCAGTTTTAATTTGATTTCACCAAATGACATCACAATGGTGTCTGTAATACAGCTAATGCAATGCGGTATAGGGTCTGTCTGCACAACATGGATACACCTGAAGCAGTTTTAAATAGGAGTAGACTACTTGCAGAACAACAGACTTTGGCATGAATTGATTTGACCAGATTCTGTAAGTGGTTTTGCTTCTCAGCTCTTTGCTGCAGGTATCCAGATTTTCCAGTAGAACCCATGTTCACCTGGACATCACATATTCAGCAAGATTGGAACAGATCTTCAAGATCATCTAGTCTAACCATCAATGTAGCACAACTACAGTCACCCCTAGCAAATTGGATGTGTGTCTATTAGCCTCAGCAGAGATTGCAAAGCACATTCAGATCAAGGATTTTTTGATGATTATACTCAAAGGAGTCCTGCTTCAGGGAAGGATTTTCTATTTTACTTCACAGGGTGCTCACTCTTTATCAGCTTCTGGTACATCCAGATAGAGGTGAGGGAGCTTGTACAATTAGCCCCCAGATCTGAAAATGCAGTAGCAAAGAGAGAAAAACCTGCGTATTTTCCCTCTTCTGTGTCTGCTGCCACAGAGAGCTTGTCTGAGGTTTATGCAGGTCTGGATCAGCAGAGCAATACTTCAAAGACTTCAGAAAGAAAAGTCAGTCCCAGAGCTGTGTAGCCATCCAAATGACTTGCAGCCTCTTTATGGCTTCCAAAACACTAGTTTTTCATCCCTGATCAGTTCCAAGCTGTGATTTTTTTAGGGAAGAAGATATCTTCCCAGCTCCTCTGAAGACTCTCTGCTTTACTGTGATCTATGTACCTGCCAATACCAACAACAAAATTAGTCATCTTTTTAATCCTGCTTAACTCTCTATATTTATGTATATAAATACTGGGGTTTGAAGGTTTGATTTGAGACCAGAAATAGAATTCGCTCTTCTTTTCCCATGCCTGCGTTTCTGAATGTTTATTATCCTTGTCTACATCACCCATCTTGAGAGGAAACACAAGCTACCTATCTTTAATAGCATGCACATACCCCAGATATAAGAAAAAATAGTTGTGAATAGTTAATCTTTTTCAACAGAAGAGATCTAACAAGGAGATGGGAACTTCTTTTTCCTACTACTACTTCTTATACATGGCTTTGATTATAAGCATAAGAATGCCATTTCAGCCAAACCTTGTCCATAAACCCAATACAGAAAGGAAAACATGGTTTCTAATCTGCACTAACTGAGCCAAAAGCAAAATCCTGGCATACAGGCAAAATTTGCAGTTGTGTTCCCCATCAGCTGGTGAGTGTGAATGTTCCATGGGTGGAACACATGGGACTATGAGGCGCAGTGGGAATGGGACATGCAAGGATATGTTATCAATATTGGCTGCTACCTCCCCTTTCCAGCAACAGAAACTGTTGAGATCTGAAGAGCTGCACCTTCATGCTTTTGCTCAATACTGTGTACACTTCAATCCCATTGTCACTGTGCTATTTGCTGCAATTTGGAGATGGCCAACTTGCTCAGAATGACAGCTAGAAAGCCCATCTTGCCACAAGCTCTTCTTCTTCCCCTTCAGTGCAGTAAGACAACTGTTCAAGTATGAACATGCTCAACCTTTTGGCACCTGTCAAGAACATTAAAGGTCTCTTAATACAGCAATTTTCAATGCATTTGCTGCTGAGTTGGAAGCAGTTCCAGCACAGGACATTGTAAGTCACGTTAGTATAGATACTTTCTAGGCATATGTTTTGCCTGAGCATTGCACTGCTTCTGTGTGTTCATTACTGAAGCACTACACTCAGCAATAATGGAAAGTGGGCCAGGGAGCTGCACTTAAAAGAAGGCTCACAAGTCATACCCTTCCTTCACAGTAAGATCTCCCCCAGGTCAGCCAACACATCTCACTCCAGAATCTTTTCACCCTCTAACATTTCCTCTGTTCTTCACCAGACCTCTGTCCTCATGTCCTGTAAAACCCAGTCATGTCCACACTCCAGTTCCCTGGTTTTCATGATTGCATCCATAGGTGACTGGCAGATTATCTGTGTCTTGCAGACTTTGAAATCTCTCTCCTGCAATTCTTTCATCTGACATTTGGGATGTGCAATGTTGCATAGATTAGTGCCAGAATTATAAGGTTCTTATTACCCTCTGTTAAAGCTCATATCTAGAGGATGAATTATGGAAAAACTTACATAAAAGGGCAGATAAATCAGATAAACAGGCTCCATAACAGAAGAAGCTGTTGAGGGGAGACATGTCTATATCTTAGGCTGGTGGACACTCACTGACTCACCACATCCACATTTCCACTCTGGGAATCACAAGAGCAAAATAGACTGCAAGACCACATAAATCATTAAGCAAAGAAAATTATTTTCAGTTCTGTATTTAAATGTCAACCTTTTTCCTAATGTAGCAACAAGGCTTCACGCATACAGATTGCAAGTTAGAGACGCAGATGATGATGGTAGGTACCTCTGCCTCATGGTAAAATATTGAGAGAGCTCGATCGTATTCCTAAATGAGTACAGGCAGAGCGTGTCCTACAGCACCACCTAGCAGGCTAATTTAGAAGCGGTCCATATCCCTGGATCCATGACTATAACGATCTGGATGTGCATCAAAACCAGGGTGCACTTCGGTCTTGCTTCACCTTCCTTGGTGTAAGAGCTGCTTCTTGAAACCAGAACCATGTCAGCGTGATGATTAGTAAAGCTGGGGTGTCTGGTTTTCCCTGTGATATTCATTATAAATATCTTAAGAGAAACCATAGTAAGAATGCAATGCTAGATTTTTGAGATTTAGTGTAAGAAATCCTTGTTTTCTAGATCTCTCCACCTGGTGCAGAAGCACTTCTCAAAGTCAGATTTCACAAACCCACCCAACCTTCTCTCCGTATTCCAAGGATAAGTAAGTCTTAGTGTGATGAGGGATTTTAAAAGCCTGAGAGTCTCTGGGTGTTTCAGTTAGTGTGAGTCTGTTGTCTGTCATCACCTAGATACACATTTTCTTTGTGCATCTGCATGAAGTGTGAATACCAATGCCAGCTCACAAACTGTAAATTTTGGCAGATGATGAAGCTCCATGCTGAGGCTGCAGAACAAAGACTGTAGCAGCTCTCTGCTGATATAAAGAGGGAGGTAAAGTTGGGTTTTTGTTTGTTTATTGTTGTTGTGGGTTTTTTTGGTTGTTTGTTTGTTGGGGATTTTTGTTTTGTTTTATTTTTGGTTTGTTTTTTTTTTTCTGGCCGCCTCATACCTTGTTAGAGTCTTTGCACTTTTCAGAGTTTTCAATGCTCCCATTTTGCTTGATAACCTAGCAGAAAATTATACCTTTTTGTCTGTTACTATGTTTTCTGCTAATACTGAGATAAACGTGGTGCATAAGAGGGTCTGATGGGTGACAGAGCTGGCAAAAAGTGGCTCAGAGGGGGACAGGTGAAAAAGGTGAGATCTTTTCTCTGACTTCTCCCTTTGGGTGGCAGCAAACTATTCATCTACCTTGTCATACTTCATAAAACCATAACCTAAGGGTAGAACTGTGCCCTGTCATGAAGGAGTGTGTTTTCTTAGCAACCTGTTTACTGCAAGTTAAAACCAAGGTTATCATCACCAGCTTCTGTTCACAACAGGCTATGCCTAGCCAGGCCTGTTTAGTACACGCATTTCTAAAAATCAGATAATCTAGTGGGGAAAAACACAGGATAAATTTCTTCATTAGGTTACTTTCATGAATATCCTAAAAATCCCCATGAACTTTAATGAGAACTCCTAACTAGCCAGTTTGTGATCTTAATCCTGTCAATGTGAACTCGAGTGTCATGCTAAAATGTCTGGGAACTAAACCTTTACTGGTAAGAAATGCTTCCATCAGGGGCTGCTGCAAAGAAAGCAAGACCTGTCAAAATTAATCACAAGTAGAAAGTAAGAACAGCTTGCTTTTATTTCTATTCTGTTGCTTCTCACCCAGCATAATTTCCATTTGGTTAGTGAAAAATTATTATCTTATGACTGCCTGGTGTGAAGGGACACTTTAAAACAATCATCCTGCATCCATGCAAACTTCCCATGATGTAAACCCAATCTTTTCCTATCCCCTACCCAAATAAAACCCTAATCTGGCCAAAAGCTATTCTGTCCTCTGGCTTTGCAAGGATGGCACATCCCAGGGCAAGGCTGGACTTCCCAGAGCTGTGCCCTCGGGTGCCAGCGCTTCCAAAGGGCGCTGCTCTGCCACCCATCTCCTCTGCACTTCACGGCTTTCCAGGGCCTTCGGAGTGCCCAGGCTCCAGACCAAATCCACACGGGCTTACTGAGAAACCACACTGGCCATCTGCTTTCAGCAAACAATAACTGTAAAGCAAATTAAACAAAAAAAATCCCTGCATATGTTACTTTCCCATTAGGAATGGCAGATAAAACAAATGCTACACGACGGATGCCAGCTCTGCCACTTGCTGCCTTAGCGGCAAGCATTCCTGCCCTGCAGTGGAGAGAGCTGAATTAATCATACAGATGTAAAGCATTTTGCAGGAAGAACGCTGGGAGTTAGAGCACAGAATGAAGTCGTGACGCGGGCAGGGAGCGGCAGTCCCCGCCTCATGCGGCGGCTGTCCTTTGAGGGGCAGGGGCGGGCGTCTCTTGCTCTTCGCCTGCAGGGGCAGCGGGTCGGATCTTCCCCTCGGTCCGTTCCCCGAGGTCAGGCTCAGCGGGTCGAATCTTCCCCTCGGTCCGTTCGCCCCATGCCAGCCCCGGGCTGTGTCACTAGAGCCACACGGCCGCTCTGAAGGAAGCGAGCCCCGCCCGCCATGGCGCCGCCGCCCGCCCCCGGCCGCCCCTTCCGCCCGCAGCCCCGCCTCGGCCCGGGACCCGCGGTAGGTGCTGGGCGGCCGCGGAGCGGGGGGGCCGGGCGGTTCCCGCAGCGAGGCCCCGGGGTTATGGATTTCTGCCACCATCCTCTTCTGTGCTTTTAATTTCGTGACCCTGGAGGCGGGTCTGGCCCGCCTGATTGATCGTGCTTTAAGCTGGGCTTTCCCCTCGACTACTTTCGATTTTTAAAGCAATAAATTCAGTAACACACACGTGTTATGACGAAACCTGCCCAGATATCCCCGATCTGAACTTTAGCTGTTCAGTAGAAAATCCCCGAGTTTAGTGAGAATTAAGTGCCTGTGACAACACAGAGATAGAAAGTATTTCAGCGTGTGGGGGAGGCCGCCGTGTAAGCGTGGTGGATTCATGGTTACCGAACAATTAAATTTGCAGGATATGGGCCATATAAATTGCCTTGCAGCTTCCGGTCGCTTTCCTCATACATAAATTGCAGAAAGTTTATGAATAAAAATAAAGATGCCGTGCACGGTTCGGGTTGCAGTGGGATGTCTGCAGGAGCTGAGCATCTGCACTGACCCCTGGGGAGGGTTTGAAAGCATGAATGCTAAAATGTATTGTGGGCAGTTTTCTTTTTATTTTCCTGAGTATTGACTATTATGAGAAAACAAATACTCTGACATTTCCTGCTTACTTCTGCATTCGATGTGCACAATCACATTTGATGATGCAAGGAAAGAATTTTCATTACATAATGCAAGACAGAAGAGTGGAGTTTTCAGTGTGGTCTGTCCTTCCCCACACGGGTGTGGCTGTAAGCTGAAGAGGGAATTTTTTCTTTACAGCATTTCTAATCTTAAAACTATGTTAGCCAGCTCCAGTGAGAGGGCGTTTTCTGACAGGAGAAACCTGTAAAGTCCATGCCTCAGCTTCGCATGAGGATCAAGTGATAGGCTCCCTACAATCGTCCCCTTGAAAGTGCTTCCCCCTGCACTGTAAATGACATGACCTTTTTAATCAGATCTAGACTACCAGATTTGCAAAGAGGTCATAAACTTGGTCATAAAAATGGTCATTTGATTTTAAGTATTACCATTTTTTGGTTTTATTTCTATTATCAGGGAGATTTTTCTCCTGAAATTTGGTTTCATCCAAGGTCTTAGCTCTTTAATGTGTTTTTTCTTAAATAATATTGTCAAAAAAACTCCCCACCTCTGTCTTCAGCAGAACATGAGAATGCCACTAGTTATTACACTAAGAAATATGTATTAAATTACTGTATGATTACATACATCATTGTTTTTATTAAGCACTCAGTGTGTGTTCAATGCAGGATAAATATTAAACAAGATTATTCTTCTCCTGGTGAGTTTACAGTCTGAAAGATCTTCATAGGAAGAAGTAGTAATAACATATTATTAAAACACCGCCTTTAAATTAATCTCTTTTTGTTTCCCTGTGGTTAACTCATTTGCTGTTGATCATGACTGGTGTATCCTGGCATGTCCTGTAGTGCTGTTTGATGATGTTACAGACCCCAGCTGTCCACTCTACCCCTCTGTGAGAAGTTCTTGTTCAGCACATGTGGAAGGAGAGCATGTGTCCCTGCTTCAGCTGCTGCCATGCAGAGCCCAGCAGCATAGCTGAGACCCACCTTTGATGATACTCCACACTAAAACTTTGGTTGTTGTATTACAGCTCAATTCCCTTCTGCCACCTCGGCTTCCTGTGAGGACAGCTGGAAACACTCATGTCTTTAACAGCTGCAGGAAGATTCTGTGAAGGTTGTGTGTTAAAGCCCTGAGAGAAGAGACTTTGCAAATGGAAAGAGTGGTGCCCAGTTTTCACTGATTTCTGCTGGATTTAGGTGCCTAATTCACTTGTATACCTTCATAGTACCATCATTCTAGGCAGGAATTCTGTAGCCAGTAGAATATTTTTAAAAGAATTTTGAGCTTTCCTGGGCAGAGCGTGTCATGTGGCTTGGATCATAAAAAGAACTGATGCTTCCCAAGGGAAGCATGACTCTTGAACTGAATGAGTTGGCAGGTTTTAAAGTTTTTAAGTTTATTTGCTTATTTAAAGAGTCATAACATAGTCGTAGGCCCTGAGACAATTTATGTTCCAGTTTCTGCTCTAGATTGAGCATAGTATTTGTCAGAGAAATTATTTCAAAGTCAAATTTTTAAAAGTACTTACTGAAACCATGCTGCTTTCTGAAAATAGCTTTTTACTGAGTAAGCTAGAATCACTGCCTGGAAGTTGAAATCTGAAAGAAAAGGGGGGAAAATGTAGGGAAAAACACATACTGTTTCTTGTTGGTTTTCAGTTGGTTGGTTTTTTGTTGTTTGGGTTTTTTTTTTTAATACTGAGCTTGACTATCCATCAGAACAAACTCCTAAAGGAAAATTCTGTCTCCTGAAATTTTTCAAATCAAAATGTGATCCTGTCTTGAAAGTTGTAGTCCAACTCAGCTTATTGAATTTAGTATTCAGGTTACTGATTAAAATTTTTGCAGCTGTGCTGTAGAGGAGATTGGCCTAGACTGATCTAATTATTGGCTCCTTCTGACCTCAATACCTATAGACTGTATAGTGGAAGGCAGGAGTGGATTGTGCTAGCAAGGACTAGACAAGTCTGTTGGGTAAATCCAGGATGGGTATTGATTGCTGGGGGAGGAGGAAGTGTGGTGGCTTTAGTATTGTCTTTATTGCGGTGAATTGATTTACTGGAGGAAAGGGAGAATTAATTCTTCATATCAATCATCCTGGGTTGCAAGGCCCAAAAATTATTGCGTACCTCTTCCTCTGTAAAGATGTTTTGTGTTTTATTAATGTAAAAAATGGTTTCTTTGGTTATTGTGCTCTGCTTCTTCTCATGCTTTCTGCTTTAGTTGTTTGGGGTTTTTACTGCTAGAGAGATGGCAAACCTGTCTATGCATACTTTAATTCCTGATTTTGTGTTATGAACAGGTTAGGATTTGACTATGGCAGTGTGGTTCCTGCGGAAGGCATCTGTGTGGTTAAAGAAGCACAAGATCACTGTGTTGGCCGTTTCTTGCATGGGACTGCTGGGCACTAACCTTTCCTATCATGTGTTTCCTGAGCAGACATTCAAACTCTTGCACGAGTGCTGGTCAGAGGGGCAGCCAGCTGAGCTTTCAGAGAAGCTCTGTGGTGTGTTTCAGGATGTCCTTGAAGATACTGGTGTGAAGTCCACTGGCTCCTACAGAGCCTTTGCAGCTTCTGGCTTCCACCCTGTGAGCGCTGGAATTCCCTGGCTGCCCGAAGGCTGTTTGGTGGGCATCCCACCTAACTTTGATAGCACAGCTGAGGATAAAAAAGGAATAGTCAACCATGTTGTTGTAATAAATGGCAAGGAAGTGGACTGGGAGAGCAGTGAAGGCGTGGCTTTGCAGGAAGCTCTCACATTTTCCCTTAAAGCTCAGAAGTTTGCCATTGCCAGAGAAATTGCGTACTTGCGGAATGGCAGCCCTTTAGCAAGTGCAGTTGTGGCTCCGACTTGCTTGGCTGGGACGTTTGTCTGTGGGAGAGCTCTAAAGCTGCTGCTGGGGTTATCCACGGGCCCTGTGATCCTCCGCGGCCTCTGTAACCTTGTCACTGCCATGGGAGGACTGCTCTGCTACTATGTCTCTTCTGATGCCATCACCTATCACCTGGACTGCAGGGCTGACTCGAAGGCAGCCAGGCTTTCCAAGGACTATGCCAGTGGTGGCCTTGAATTTTATGATAAAATCTTGTCCCGCAACAGGATTTTTCGTGGTCTGATGGGCAAACAAGGGATGAAAATGTATGCCCCGAGTGGTAACCTTTTACCAAGGCACTGGTTCAGAATAAAGTATACCCCGTACACTTACCGGAGAACTTTGATTCTTAATATTTTAAGAGAGCTCCAGGCATCTGATAGGAGTGCTTGAATTTTAAACTTGTGAATTATGTATCTTGGAACACCACTGTGCTGCTTTTTTCCTTTTTTTTTTTTTTTCTTCTGTATCTTCAATAGAATTTTGGGGTTTATTTTTGCATATAGTTCAGGAAGAGTTATTGTACATTTCTTGAATAAAGAATTCTCTCTTAAAATATTAAAGACTTGCTTCCAAAGTGCTCAGTTCTGTGTGCATCTCAAATCACAAGACTGCTGAGAAGGGAAACTTTTCAGACACTGATCTGGAAGTTGTGCTGTGCTACTTTGCCTTCCTGCTGTTTTGGTCTGGCAAATTGGGAGGGGCAAGTCCAGTGGAGAGTTTTGGGATCATTATAATTTAAACTGGGGTGTTTGCTGTTTCTCCTATGGAACAACATAGATATTTTAAAAAACGGGCAGTCTGTATTCTGTGGTCACATAAATATCAAGACAGAGAGTGTTTCTGTTCTGTGTAAATTCTTGTGCTGTGTATATTCTTATGCTGCAATCATCATTCTTCAGTAGGAGACATTAGTTATGCTGCAGTTGCTATCAGTACAGACAGATTATTGCCAGAACCTGCATAATTTGCTTAAATCTAGTTCTGCTCTCTCTAGCACATGGTGACTGCAGCATTGCCGTGAATGTTCTCCAGGAGTGGTAGTATGTAAGATAACTGTCCTGGGTTGGTGGTTTTCTCACAAGTGGGATAAGCATGTTGAGAAAAGGTTTTTCTGCTTGCTTTGGTATAGTTTTTTTGTTTCATTTAAAAATACATGTATGCCACCCGTTATGTCAGTGAAGGCAAGGTATGAGACATAAGTCTGGCACTTAGTGCAGAAACTGGTGAGGTCTTTGATGCAGAGTTGCCAAAGGACACTGTAGCCAACTGGCTCACGAAGATTTTGTCTGCCAGGCCAAGCTTTGCCCAGGATTACTAATCTTCTGGAGAAGTCTTTAGTGCATGGGCAGTAAGCTTTCCACTGCAGCCTCACCTTGATTTTCAAGGTTGTGGTTCCTTCTTTCCTATGTTTCTGTTGCTGTTCCAGGAGCTCTTCCTGGTGATGTCAGAGTAGTTCTCATCTCTGTCATCATTCTCACCAGCAACTTCTATTATTTTGTGTCCTCTCAGAGATGTGCTTTGTGTCCTCTCTGTCCTGGTTTTGTCCTTTCTTCATCTGCTTCAATAAGAACTGTCACACCTGTGTTTGCTCAAAGCATTACTGAGTTCTGTTTCCCTTTTGAATCACATCGGTGGCATAAAGTTGATATTCTGGCTGCTGAAGCACTGCTGTTGCTTTCCATTGCTGAAGCCATGTGTGTGAGATGTTTGAGTTTCTGCTGAAGTAATCTGTGCCATGTGCTTCTGAAACATCACCTATTGCTTGCCCTTGTCCTCATCAGGTCATGAGATGCCTCTCTGGTGTTTTTCTGACTGTAAGGCATAAAGTTATTGTTTTTGTGTCCTTTGTGAGAGTCTGGTAAAATTTCCTCGTCTGTGGAATAAGAAGAGACTTTACTTTTAGGCAGGAGTCTTCCAGATAAATCCAAGACATCACAGAAATGTATTGGTAGAGTGACATAGTGACTCAAGACTGGAATATAATTCCTGGTTTATATAGCCTGTGAGTTTATTTCATCCTCCTGTTACTTCTTCAGACAAGTCTAAACTCTGTGAAATATTCTCAGAGAGAACTTGGCCCATTTAGTTTATGTGGTTGAAAGAGCTACTGCTACATAAAGAGTGCAGAGAGGAAATCAAGGCCTTCTTGGAGATTTACAATAAGTAACAGTTTAAACAATAGTGTCAATTGTGTCATAGTGTCAATATAGGGAAAACACAAACTGCAGTCACAACTGCTTAGTAAGATTTCCCTGAACTTTAAGAATGTGCAGGTTGTCCTGGAAAAGATTTTTGTGTGTGTATTTCCAGGTAGTTGTTGTTTGCAAGATCACCCATGCTGTTTGGCAAGTAAGAATAGCACAACTCAAATACATGGCCATGACAGTAGTCATGAAAAGTATTTTATTACACTGCAGATGTTTTTCTGTAGGTGGAACTATCATTGAAATCAAACATGAACTCCACACATCACATACTGGTGATAAAAATGGTCTGGTTTTGAGAGTTCACTAGAAGGAAGCAGCCCAGAATTAAAGGTGGAAATGTTCCATACTAAGAATGGTCTGATGTGGAAAAGCAAGTTCATTCTGTGGCCCAGAAAAGGCTAAACAAATCAGTTTGTAAATCGTGTCAGTGAATAGCCTCCCCCCGCTCTGAAGCTGAAAATCTGAGGAATTTGAAGAACTTGAGTACTAACTGGCTTGTCTTTTGCTGTTCAGACAAGCACACTTTGTACAAATTTTTGCGTAGAAAAGCACAAAAAATGTTAAGCTAAAAGGAATTGCTAGGAGATGTAGATAAAAGAAGCCTAAGTCTAGAAACCATAAAAGCAGAGATGTCAGTGGAATAATGAGCTCTCATAAAAATGGATACTATCTACAGATATGAAGCTCTCTGTCTGGTAAAGTGATTAAAGGATGAAGAAGTATGAGTAGCAAATGACCAAAATGAGTTGCTAGTTTAAATTTAGATAAAATCTAGTTTAAAGAGGGATTTGCTTGACTGGTTTATTTGTGTTATTATCCTGAATGTTCTGTGTAACTGGAAAGAAAATGATCCTTGTAACTTCTTTTTTATATAAATGCAATTCTTGCTGCTACATAAAGCTTTAGTGGGTGATGATGCAGGAGATGAGGGTCACCAAGGTGCTTTGCTCAGAATTCCCCCTGAAGGGTAAGAAATATACTCCAGGGCCTGACTCACATATTTCTTTATCCTAAAATTCGCAATTTCTTGTTGTGGAGGTACCTTCAGCTTGTTTAATGGTCCAAAACATAAAGTTGTCAGAAAAGAGCAATATTGAGGGCTAGACAGTTTTCTTGAAGAGAAACAAGCTGTGGAAGTCCTGTGATCACAGCAATTCCTGAATCAGCTGCTATGGGTATCTGGCTTCTCCAGCAGTTTACAGAAGTAGGAGTTTCAGAGAGAGGGAAATCTCCAGCCAGGTGGCACTGAGTAAAGTATGTGGACTTGCACAGAGGGATTTAGTTGAAGTGTAGAGGTCCTTCAGGAAACAGCCTTTTTTATTACAGTAGAGCACTGCTATCACCCCATTTCACATTGAAGTAGTTTCCAGAATTTGACAGATAAGATGGTGAAGTTTGGTTGAAGTGTAGAGGTCCTTCAGAACAGCCTTTTTATTACAAAGCACTGCTATCACCCCATTTCACATTGAAGTAGTTTCCAGAATTTGACAGATAAGATGGTGAAAGAGCTGACTGCAGAGCTGTGGAGCTTCTTGCCCTGCAGGGAAAGCTGGTGGTGTTGGGAGAGGTGATGCTGGGAAGAGCCTACTACTGTTTTGCCCTTGGCTTTAGCAGTTGTGAAACAACCACAGTGACAAAGTGTGGCTTGCATGGGTGGGGTGTGAATTTGAATGTAGAAATCAAATCATCATGGCTGAAACACAAGTGGCTTTCACCAGAGGAACAAATGCAGAGGGTCCATCAAGGAGTGAGTACTGCTATGTGCACTATGTGGGCACAATCCTGCAACTGTTATCTGCTCCCATTCACTAAAAACTGCATGTAGCAGGTGTGATTACATTCATATAAAAATCAGTAAGTTGCAGACAATCATGCATGCATCCAGTCCCTCCTTGATTTCACTCATTTCAGCTGGAAGTGTATATTATTGAAAGGCAGAATGCCTTTCAAGCAGGAGAATGCTGATGTAGGAAGACATACTTAAGATCTTGGAATAAGGAGGACACCCTCAGGAAGAGGGAAATTTGGTTGTTTTCAAAAACCAGACTTAAGAACAGAAAAAAAAAAAGTTATTATTCTCCAGGAATTGGTATGTTAGACAAATTAAACTGAAGGCATTGAAAAATGGCTTATGGATGTTTTGCTGGGCATCTTTTTCACTGACAATATATTGGCTTCTTAAGCTGAAGTGAGTATACTCAGGCTGCTCAAACTGCCAAATCCATAAAGTGGAGAAAGTTACTAAAATTTGGCCAGAAACCAGTCTGTTTTTCCCATCTGGAAGAGTACAAGCCAAACTCTTAAGCTTCATAGCCAGAAATGAACACTGAAATATTTCTGCAGTTGGAAGTTTTTACTCTCCTCAGTAAGACCAAGTTTGCCGAAATCTATCCAGGTCTCCAATTTTGAGGGAAAGAGTGTTCTTAAAAACTCAGTTTTTTGTCCAGAAAAGCACTTTGATAAGCACAGCCAACCCAGGTGGACATTTTTGTCTCCTACCTTAGTTTTTCTGTAGGAAAAACATACTGATGGAACAATTTGTGGTGTTCTCTGCTTGTTTTGAAAAAATAATCGTCCCCCAAATCATGCTGACTGGAGAACTTTCTCCTGTTTAGTTTTTTCTTTTTTTTTTTTTTTCCCCTCCTGTGGTTGAACTTCCATCATCTGGAAAGTTGGTCCCTTTTCCAGTCCTGACCTGTTTTCTCAGAACCACTTTCTACTTTGGTTTGCAGGAGCTTTACCTTGTTAACGTAGCCAAGGTGTTAACAGCTTCTTTCCATATAAATGAGTAACAGGTGAAGCTGAAGCTGTGTCCTCCTTTGTGTGTAATAAAACTACTTCTGTAGAAGTCTTGCAAAAGCAGATCTCATTAGGGTGACTAAGAGTATTTAGAAAACACAAGATACTGCGAGCCTGATCCCAGATTCACAGTTCTGGCAGTTCTTGTGGAGTGAACATGGAGAAAGGAAATGCAGTATCCAAACAACTTTTTATGCAGTAACTGTTTAGTGGTTTAGTGCAGACCTGCTGACCTCTGGAAGCTTTGTTTCCATCACATGCTGGAAATTTTCCAGTGGGAATGTTGTTGTTTCTTCATTCTCTGTTTCATTTCCCCTTGCTCTGTTACTCTAATTGCCTCTTTCTGCCTGCTGACTCATCTTACAAGCTGCTTTCGCTTGCTCAAGCAAGATTTGTGAACTTTTAAGTGCTCACTTGCTGCTTGCACTTTCATTTGCACCTCCTACTTTTTCCTACCGTACTTACCTGCCAAAGACCACAGCAGCTTCCATTCTCCTGTGTTTTACTACATTTAGTCTACATGTTTTTTTAGGGAAAAATGCTTTTGACTACAT